TGGTTCATGCGCGCCCCGCTTCTGCCTCTTTGGGGTTGCGCCTTTCCAGCCCACAGTGAAGACTACAGAACGGGGAGTCAGGACTCCCCGGTTTCTCCTCCCCTTCTTTCCTCAATGCCTCCGTCTCCAGTCTCTCCTCAAGGCTCTCCCAGCCAGTCTGCTCTCAGCCCCGCAGCTCACACTTGTACAAGCTTTGTGCAGAGCGCACAAAAGGCAGGTTAATTGATTCCCTTATGCCTGAGAGAGATGGTAGCTGCAGAGTGGGAGGTGCATTATCACTCAGGCTCCACTGGCCCCCGTGTCAGTTCTCTTCACAAAGTTTTCCTCACCAGTCTTTTCCCAGGCACCAGCCCACCCTGCTGCCGCCTCTACCCAGAAATCAAGGAGGGTGGCTGCCACTGCAATTTTTGCATTGGCCCTTTAAATGTCTCTTTGCATCCCCAGCCACCTGTCTCTGGCAGAGAGTGCTCCCAAGCTTTTTGGGGTTGCGTTTTGTCTGTATTTTCTTGGTTTTAGCTGCTGTAGTTTAGGGGTCCCTGTTTACGATTCAGACCCCGTTCTTCTCGGGAGAAGCTAACTGGCCATTTCAATGTCCCTCTGGTGCTAGTGCCCGTGGGCACCCAGCCCACCCTCTTGAGCCTCCACTGCACTTCTCACCCATTGGGATGTGTGAGAGTTGAATCCACTGTCCGCAGCACCAAGGTTCCTCTCCCACTATCGTTCCATTGTTTTTCAGGTGATTACTCCTCTATTTAGTTGCAATTCCAGTTTGGTCTTGGGAGGAGGTCAGCATGACTCCCATTCACTCCTCCGCCATAATCTCTCCCTCGAGTATCCTTATAACCATTACTTTAAATTCTATATCTGATAACTGGCTTGCCCCAATTTTATTTAGCTCTTTTTCTGGGTATTACTTATTTTCTTTTATTTGGAGTTTGTTCCCTATATTAGCTGTCTCTTTTTGTTTGTTTTGATGTACCTGGTAGATCTGCTTTGACTACGTCTTGTGTGGTGGGCTTATGTGTCAGGATTCCTGGGGGACCCAGTGGTGTAGACTCCTTGATCTCCTAATCTGGATGCTCTAGGAATGTCCTTTGTGTGGGTTATGTGGGCTCTGCTGTTGTATTTGGGTCCTGAATGTTCTTGACTTGTTCATTGGTGGTGCCTTCCCTTCAGCAGGCTGACTGAGAAGCTCAACCCCCTCCATGTTTTGTATACTGTAGTACAGGTGATGGCAGAACAATCAAAACAACACAAATATACAAATCCAAAATAATCAACCCCTCAACAACAGTAATATCAACAATAGTGGTGGTTGGATGGGGCAGAGGGAAACAATGGGTAGGAAAATGGGGACAGCTGTAAATGAAGAATAATACAAAAAGAAAAAAGATCAGAAATTAAAAGTGGAAAGAGAAATGGAATATGCAATATTAGGAGAAGGGGGGAGAAAAATAATAAAAGAAATCCGAAGGACAGAAAAGTGATTATGGGAGGAGAAAAATGAAGAAAGCTAATACAAATAATGAACTGAAAGAAGAGAACCGGGCTCTGGCTGGTGTGGCTCAATGGATTGAGTGCCAACCTGTGAACCAAAGGGTCACTGGTTCAATTCCCAGCCAGAGCACATGCCTGGGTTGTCGGCCTCATCCCTAGTAGGGGGGGTGGTGAGAGGCAACCAAACATTGTTTCCCTCTTTCTCCCTCCTGTCCCCTCTCTCTACAATTGTTATTTTATTTATATTTTTCTATAAATAAATTCTACAAAAATTTATTTATATTTTATTTATAAATAAAAACTTAAAAAAACAAAGAGGAGAACAGGAAAAAGGGACAGAGAAGGAGAAAGAATAACAAAAATAAGAAAAGAAGGAAACAATGGGGTAATAAAAAGTAAGAATAAAATAGACATAAAAATAGAGGAATAAAAATAGAAGGAAGAATATTTAAAGTATTATGAAAAAGGAATCATAACATAAATAGTGAGCAGGAACAGAGTGGAATTCATCTTAGTAGAGTTTTGTGTTTGCCTGCTCAATTCTGACTTTGGGTATAGCTGTGATGTTGTCTGAGACTGGTGCTGTACATGTCGAGCCCTTGGCAGCCTGTTCAAAGCTGCAAGCAATCCACAGTTTGTGGTTGATTCCTCCACACTTGACTGTGCTCCGAATTGGCCCAACCTGCTCTGAAAAGCTGGAGTTTATCAGCACTGGGCCCAGGGATGTGTCAGCAAACATCCCAAGTCACCATAGTATCAACCTCTGCCTGACTGCTTGCTGGCTTGCTGTCAGTCTTAGACTAGTTACACACCTGTTTCTGCGAGGGCTTCTTGTGGAATAGGGGAAAGGAACTCCCACTGGGTTCTCCCTTTGGATTCAGCTCTGATGTTTTCTGTGGCTGGGGTAAGCCAACCTGATATTGTCGATGTCTATCCCTCAGAAGCCTGTTTGAAGTTATAAGCGATCCACAGTTTGTGGCCAGATCCTCTGGGCTTGGCTATGTCCATGTTGGCCTGAAAAGCTGGATTTTATCAGCACTGGGTCTAAGGGTGTATCAGCAAATGATGCAAGTCATCATAGGATCCACTTCTGCCTTCTCTACCTGGTTGTCTACTGTCATTTTAGACTGATCATAGACCCAACTGTTTCTGAGAGGGCTTTGGGTAGAATCAGAGGGGATGGGACTCCTAGATCTCCCATAGCAGGTGCCTTTCAGACTTCAAGGAAGATGGTGCATGTGTTCCCCTGCCTCAAGCCATTAGTCTGAGTCTGTCTGCGAGTTTTCTCCTGAACGCAGCAGGGAAGGGCTCCTAGTAGGCTAATGGGTGGGATCTCTAGAGCCTAGATTTTGGGTTTGCTGGAAACTGGGATAGTGTTTCTATGGCTCTTCCAGGAGAAGGAAGTGCCAGTCTGTTTCCTGGGAAAGTGTGTGGTGTGGTTGCATCCTACAGCCCATCTCTGACACTTCCTGCATCTGTCTATGTTGCTGTCTTCTCAGTAAGAGTTAAGGTGCAGGATGGAGTAAAGCAAGAAGGAAAAAAAACAAACCCAGGTAAAACAAGACAAAAAACAGAACTAAAAGGAAAACAAAACAAAACAAAAAGATGGAGGTTGGGTTGAGCAGGTTTCCAAAGGGTTGGGGGAGCAGTACTCCACAGGTAAGTTAATTGCTTTTCCCCTGATGGGCTTGTCCTTCTCAAGAAAGATGGCTTCTGGAAATCCAGGTATTAAAGCCACATGGCCACTGCCACCATGTCTCTCCCCAGTGCCTCCTGCTGCAGAGTCTTCTCGCACAACTCCAGTCCATGCTGCCCTTCCTTCACTGGGTCCCAAAGTGAGAGGCTGTGAATACAAAACCTATGCTTTGGCGCCTTTAAGAATTAAGAAAAAATAGTGGCTTTGTCTCCAGCAGGTCTTGTGTTTCTCCAGCAGAGGCAAACCCTGCCACTTTTTGCCTTTGGATGCTCTGTGGTCTGCTGGTCCTAACACTGGTGCTCTGTGCTTGGGGGCCAGGTTCGTGGTCCCAGATTCTTTCCTTTCAAGGGGACACTTGCACAGCCATGCCACCACATCAGACCACTGCCCTTGTGGATGATGCTGGCTCCTTTAACAACCCTACCTTTCCTTTAACAACCCTACCTTTCCAAACCAGTCATGGTGTTCTTTTTTTCCCCCATCCTTGGTTAAAAGTCCCTTTTTCAGGTAATCTTTGGTTTATTTCAGGTGTCTATTCCTCTCATTTTATTTCCAGTTTGGTTCTTGGAGGAGATGTACAATATGTATCTCCTACTCTGCCACCATTTTGTGCCTCTCCAGTTGTAGTCTCTTTTGTATATTTGGAATTGAGGAGAGAATGTAACAAAGATTACATAGTCTTGTGAGAAAGCAAGGCAGAAAAATCTCTATTACTGGATTATAGGATAGTTAACAAGATTATGTGCTCCCATCAGGGGGAATTAACAATCCCCAGGGATCTAAAAAAAAGAGGTATCTCAAAGGTGTGTTGGTCTAGGTGCACAAAAACAATGGACAGGGCTTGAATAAGGCAAAGATAAACCTTTTAGTAAAGACCTGGTATGTCTGGGGCATGATTACTTATCATGCGCTGACCACTTATGATTTTATAATATGACCATCTTGTGTGGTTATTTTCTGTCATTGAATTTGTACATAGCTTTTTTTGTTCAGACTGTCTTTGACCACTCACTAGCCAAAGGAGTGCTATACTTGTAAATCAGTCAAAGAAAGAAATGACACACAGTTTTAGGAAAATGAGGAATTCAAACATGGGGGGGGGAGCTTTCAAAAGCAGGAGTATGAGGACTGACTGAATGACTGTCAGTTGTAACTGTAATCACAGGAGTGGGGCTGTAGCTGACTTGCTGACTTTCTCTACTAGGGTCAGAATGAAAGCTGTTGATTGGCTTTCAGAATTGTGGAAGTCATAGATTGATTGATCTTCATAAGCATGTGTACTCATGAAATTTTTTTTTGATTGTTATTGATGTTTGATCAGTTGTTCCCGACCCATCAATTCTCGGGCTTACTAATTCATGGCTTGAGATTATGTCCAAGAACAACCAGTCCTAGGCTTTATTGAATTTGGAGATTAGGAAGATTTTATTACTATCATATCATTTATTTTCAAAGTATTTTATTATAGACTTTATCCTTAATAACATTTTCTAGTTATTGGACCATCCCTGGAAAGTACTAATTTTTTCAGCAATGCATTATTTTTATTTTTTACTTGTTTATGCTATTACAGTTGTTCTTGATTTTCTCCCTCTTTCCCACTCTACACAGCCCCACCCTCTCTCCCTTCCCTCCATCAATTCCCGTATGTTGTCCGTGTCCTTGGGTAATGCATAAATGTTCTTTGGCTAATCCATTCACCATCTTTCACCCAGTCCCCAACCTCCCCTCTGACAAAATAGAAACAGAATCATAGATTAAAAAGTACTAATTAATTTTTATTTAGTTTTTGATTGAGAAGCTCGAGGGAGTTATAAATGTATTTGCTTTCACAGCCAGTTGAAATAAAGAACAACTAAAGGCATTAAGATTCCTCTTAAACCTCTATCAAGATGGAATTCTCATGTCAGTAGAATATTGGTAACAATATTTTACCACGGAACACTCAGAAGTTATATAAAGTATACTTTATTCGTAAGATACAAGCAATCACTAAATATCATCATAATAGGTGATCATTACTGTTAAACGTCAGAATCAGAATAAAACATGCTTAAAAAGTTGAATATCATTGAAAGTCATCTTCACTAACAAGAGGAAGGAGGATGGTAGCATTTAGATTGAAACAGCATTTGACAATTACATGACGTATGGTCAACAAATGTTTTATTAGTAATATACTAGTAATGTAGATTACTAGTAATGTAATTGGTGGAGTTTGGCATTGAGTTTTTTGTGTGTTATTGTATTGTTAGTTAATATGACATAACGATAGTATTTTATCATGGGATAATGACAAAATTATAAAATGATACAGGGAAAACTGGCCATTGACTTGGAATATCAATGCTGTGGATAGGGCTTGATTAACAATTTAGACAGCTTATTTTTTATATATACTGCAATAGTACATAAGGAAAATTCTTGGTGTTATGAAAAATCATCAAGTAAAATGCATTTATTTGAAAAATTCCAATGCTTAAGGTTTTCTCATATAAATATACTGTACAAAGCAAATACACAGCACAAAGCTACCCAACCACAAATTGCTGTATGCACCATTTCTGAAACACATGCCAAATACTGAGCAAAAAAAGAAAAAGGACTAATGGACATGAAAAACAGACTGGTGATTGCAGCCGGGCATAGGAGTACAAAAGGACTAAATGGTAATGGAAAAAATACAATAAAAATAAAAAAACCCCACAAATATAAAGGTGTACCTCTACAGTCATTGTGATGTTTTTAGTACTAAGTAACAAAAGTGTACTTTGTAAAGTGCCAGATGTAACAATCTTAGACTCTATGGGCCATAAGGTCTCTGCTAGAACTACTAAACTCTTATAGCATGAAAAAAGCTACAGGTAAAATGGAAAAGAATGTTTTTTTGTCTGTAATAGTGTTCTAATAAAACTTTATTAATGGGATACTGAGATTTGAATAACTCATAATGTTCACATCACAAAATAGTCTCTAATACTTTCAATTATTTTGAAATAGTTTTCAGCTAAATATGGGCAGTGGGCCCATTCTGAATCATTCAAGGAAAAATGTACAGCCAAACCAAATGGCAGCACAGCAATAAAGTGGGCAGTAAATAGCAGCAGCCAATCTTTTTTCTTTGTTTTGCAGAATTCAAGAAATACAAATTATAATGATGATGACATCTAACATGTAGCTCTCTTTGTGTACCAGACATTATTATGAGTGTGTTAAAATTAACTCATTTATACCTGAAAGTGATCTGAACATACTATTATCACTTCTCCTAAAAAACAAAACAGGCATAGAAAGGTTAAGAGTCAAGTCCTATGATGGAATGAGCCTATGTTACGTTGCTTCAACCAGAAAAACAAAGTTAGCAGAGAATACTTAGGACTCCCTTGCAAGATACAGATGCAAAAAACTGCACCCTACTGAAACATCAATAGTGAGACATAACATTTTTTTTTACATAGCATTATTTGTTTTTATTCTATAGACTATTTTCAGCTGTTTTAAAAAATAAACTCAGGCTTTTCCTATAATAAATGTGTTTCTATTGTAAAATTTAGCTGACAGTTGAAAATTTTACAAAAACATTTTTAATTTCTTTCTGAAAGATTAGTTCAATAACAGCTTACATATCCATTTAAAATGACAGAAAACAGGAGAAAGAGGTGCGTTATAATTTCAAAAATATTACATTAAATACACATCACAGCCATGGCTGGTGTGGCTCAGTGTACTGAGTGCTGGCCTGCGAAGTAAGGGGTCACTGGTTCGATTCCCAGTCAGGGCACATGCCTGGGTTGCAGGCCAGGTCCCCAGTTGGGGGCATATGAGAGGCAACCATACACTGATGTTTATCTCCTTCTCTTTCTCCCTCCCTTTCCCTCTATCTGAAAATAAATAAATAAAATCTTTTAAAAAATAAAAAATAAATACACATTACATTAATAATAGGAATCACTGCTGAAGCTCAATATGTAATATCTTCATATACATAAAAGTTACTGAACTAATGTTACATATTTCCTATATATAATTATAGATGGATTCCACATGCACATCAGACATCCACGATCTGTATTCTGTAGCTCATTTACATACATGAAAAAGTCCTTATATACTACAGGACTCTCCATGTATTAATGATGTTGCCTACTTGTACTTTTCAAAAGCTTCATATATCTAAACACTTGCAGTTTTCTTTTATTATTTTTTTAATTTGGATGCCTTTTATTTTTTTTCTTCTCTTTTTTAATTTTATTTTTTATATGCAGTTTTCTTTTAAAAAGTACCTTACAATCAGATCTCTGTAAATGACTTCTAGAATAACAATTTCCCACAGTACAGTGGGAATTTTCTTTTAAAAGCTTAACATATAAAGGTTCTATCCCAGTATCAATAATCTGACATTCACTGAAACATCACTTCTGATAAGGGCATCTGTATTTGTTCCAATCTTTGCAGTTACTCCCTTTGAGTGTTCTAATGTGAGACCAACTAGCGTAGAAAGATTTCTGAGTGATTAGGATACTGATAGGAGTTTCTAATTCATGTGAGCTTTTGAATGTCTACTGATGGCTGCCCTGGCAGAAAATTTCCTGACATGCATTTTACTTAAAAGATTTCTCTCCTGTGTGATTTCTATATTGTAAAATAAAGTATGACTTCTGAAAGGTTTCCTTATGTTTTATCATTTGTAGTGTTTCTGCCATCTACATTGTCTGATATTTAGTAAAGTCTGATATATGGTAAAAATTTCACCCTTGTAGAATTTTTCTGTGTATTTCCTCTTCGTGAAGGAAGACTGTGGCTAAAGTTGATCATATTGATGATACTCATAAGGTTTTTGTCTTGTGGGAATTATCTAATTATTTTGAAGGATGCATTCAGGCAGAATTTCCCAATTCATACTATTTATGAGCTCTTTCCCTCTGTGTGTGTGTCTTCTGATGTGCAGTGAGTTCTGATTTCTGGATAAAAGTTTTCTTACACTCTTGACATTCATAGGGTTTCTCCCCTGTGTGTTTTCTCTGATGTATAATAAAATGTGACTTCTGAGAAAAGAATTTCCCACATTCCTTACATTCATAAGGTTTCTCTCCGGTGTGAGTCCTTTGATGTAACCTGAGGACTGAATTCACAGAGAAAGATTTACCACATTCATGACATTCATAGGGCTTCTCCCCGGTGTGTTTTCTTTGATGTTTAGTAAGGTCTGATTTATAGTAAAAGTTTTTCCCACATCTATTACATTCAAAAGGTTTCTCTCCTGTGTGAGTTCGCTGATGTACTGTGAGGGCTGACTTCTGGTAGAAGCATTTCCCACATTCACTACATTCATAGGGTTTCTCTCCGGTGTGAGTTCTCTGATGAGTTTTGAGGTGTGAATTTCTAGAAAAGAATTTCCCACATTCCTTACATTTGTAGGGTTTTTCCCCTGTATGTGTTCTTTGATGTACTGTAAGGTGTGATTTCTGGGAAAAAGATTTCCCACATTCCTTACATTCATAAGGTTTCTCCCCTGTGTGTGTTTTCTGATGTACCATTAAGTATGCCTTAACATAGAAGAACTTCCCACATTCAGTACATTCATAGGGTTTTTCTCCTGTGTGAGTTTTCTGATGTTCTATGAGGTGTGGCTTCTGGTAGAAGGACTTCTCACACTGTTCACATTCATAAGGTTTCTCCCCTGCATGAGTCCTCAAATGTCTACTGAGAGATGACAGGTGGTAGAATGTTTTCTTACATTCTTTACATTCATAGGTTTTCTCTCTGGTGTAAGTCTTCTGATGTCTTGTGAGGCCCCTATTCCTAGAGACAGATTTTCCACACTCACGGGGTTTATCCTTTGAATGAGTATGCTGATGTACTATTAGGGCATATTTCTGACAGTAGAACTTTCCACATTCATTGCATGTATAGGTTTTTGCTCTGGTATGAGTTTTCTGATTTGTGAGTTCTCCAGGCCTAGAGAAAAATTTTCAAATTCATTAATGAATAAGATTTTCTTTTCCTGCTCTGTATATTTTCCAAATAACTCTAAGTGTGGTAGACAAACATGACCAGGGCAAGGATGATGAGCCAGTCACAGAAGGTCACCAAGGCAGAAAGCCCTGGGTGCCTAGCAACTGGTAAAACTGGGAAAACAAGGACTTTGCTTACAGGGTGACCTTTTCTCCCATAGTATATCACTGGTCATGCAGTTTAGACTCCCTGACCTTTCATATTGCTGGTCATGTAGCTCTGACCCTTCCCTCACTTTTCCTCCTCTGGCATATTAGTGGGCATGTGGTAGATCCCCCTGAAGGAAGAACTAGGGGCCAAAGAGTGGCCTCATGCAAATCACATACAGGTCTTTTATAACCACTCCCTTAAGCATTAACCCTTAGTAATAACACCTAGACCTCAGTTGTGTTTCAGCTCCAGGCCAAGAAAAGCAGCAAAACTAGAAAAGTGATGCCATGGCTGACATCAGGACCAGAGGCATTTACTAATGACCTCCGGCCCTGGTGCTGACCAATCAGTGGAGACCGCAACCTTGCAGGGACACACTTAGGAAGCTGATGAATATTCTATTGGAATCCTCCCTTGTGACCTTCAGAAAAATACCCTCAAGGGGGAGGACCCAGCTAGGCTCCCTCTAAGGAGCATGCCTGTGCCATTCCCCCCCTCCCTGCTTCTTATTTTCCCCAGGCATTACCTTTACCTTCCTCTCTCCTAAGCTCCAAGTACCCTTCTTTTGCCTCTGTAACTTGTTTCCTGACCCCATTTCTCTTAAGGTTTGTCTCTGTTATCTCTGTGACTTTTTAAATAAATATTGTCTTTAGATTGAGTCTTGTCTCTAAATTCTTTCTGAGCCATAACTCAAGAACGGAGGTTGCTGAAGAAAGTTCTAATCTGATTCCATTACTCTAACACCTGGTGCCATTCTCACCGCCAACAAAAGAACTGGTTTCTACAGATTTTCCTATATTCATTAGATTCATAGGGTTTCTCCACTGTGAGTGCTCTCTGATATACATTGTGGTAGAAGGAATCTTCACTTGCATTATATTCAAAGGGTCTCTCATTCAACTGCCCAAACTTTACTTTGTATAATAAAGTCTCCCTTATTGTGTAATTCTGAAGACTCAGAAGACTGCTTCAATATTTGAATCTCCTTATCCATTATGATAAAGGGCTTTCCTATTTGCATTATATTGTTTGGAATTTGATCAATGTTAATTTTTTTCACATTAAGTACTAACTAGTGCTCTCCCAATTACAGTACTCTCATCAAGATCCTTTCTTATACAACTTCAAATCTTAAAATTGAACTTTGAATTTACCTTGAATTCTGAGCTTGGCTTTCTTGGTATCTTGCTCTTAGGTCATGAATATTCCATAGGTCTACAAACGAATAAAAAAATTTGATACGACATAAATCTTAACACATTACTATAGTTGTAGGATAGGGTTGATTCTTAGGCTTCAGGTCAATGTCCACAAATTAAGAAACTCTCAAATGCAAATTTCATTTATTTCATTGGTGTATAAAAAAAATAACAAACACTAAAAACTGCTATAGCAGAAATGGGAAGGAATGTGCTTCTAAACCCAAATGCCTCTATAGTTTACAAATATGACCTTAAAAACTTGGAGGAGAAAGTTAAGACAAAACCAAACCACACTGGGAGCAGAGAACAAAAACTATTTAAAGTGTTGCTGAACAGGAATATGAGATTCATAGAGAGGGCAGTGAGTCCATTAAGGACAATGAGTAGTAAGTAGGGTGGTAAGAAAAATTAGTAGACAACTATGTTCACTGGAAATATCAGGACGAAGATTAAATTGGATACATGAGCTAAAATTATAGGTCTTTTATCTGCTCACACCTAATTTATTGTGTTAGGATTCCTAGTAGTTAGCAAAGTATAAAGTTCTACTTTATTTCTTCTTTACCCATACACAACAACCTAGTTATCAACACTTAAGTGACTTTTTCAGAACATGAATGTCCTCATGTTTTGAGGAACAGCCCTATAGCTTAGGCTTTCACTCTAGATTTAGTTGGCTTAATTTTAACTGGGACAGAGGACCCAGGAACATATGTCCATAAGGGAAGAGTTTTAAAAAGCATAATGCAAGTCATCCATATAACATGATGAATGCCCAGGTACAGCACCTAGGATGTTCAATCCTGACCACCATATACTGCATCTCCAAAGTGATGTTACTATGACTCAACAATGGTTTTTTTTTACTTTCATCTTAGCTCCTAAATCTCTGGTTCAATTTACTACATGGTCTTTAAAGATTAGTTATTCAACATTATTCTAGAACCTTTACTGACCTTGATATGCATTCATGTTTAAATGCTTAAAAGTCAGTCAAAGGTTATGAGCAGAGACTTGGGATTGGAGGTTCATAGCATTTGTAGGGGAACATAAAAATTATTTGATAGGGACCTGTGCAAAGTTAACATGAATACACATGAAATAAGATTCTATTTATGAAAGACAGTTAAGAGATCAATGAGGTGATGATTAGCATGTGTTTGAGGGCCACAAGGCGAAATGAGATGCAGTAGGCAAGAAGGGGCCAGATTAGTTATTGACAGAAAATTAACTGTGCTTTGTAATAGTGAGTTAGTATAAGTTTGCAGCATTACATAACTCCTGCAAGGATTTAAATTAAAAATTAGTTTTTGACCCTGAGAAAGAAGGAATTTAGATCAGTAGAACTATTCTGTAAAATGGTAAAATATGTAACCAGAATACAAATAAGAGAAAAATGCTGAAGATATCAATATTAGGAGTTCTCAGCCTAGAAAATGAAGCTTTGGTCTAGAAGCCAAAAGAAGGTACGTAAGCCATTGCAGAAGTTACTATAAAGGGCATAAAATAGCCAGAAAAGAGACGTCTGTCTCTTGTTAACTGAAAACTGAATCTTTCAACAAACATCTAGTGAATAATCAATATATACCAGGCATTGTTTCTGCACATGAGCACACAAGTCAGAAAATATCTGAAAAACATTTAAGGGAGCAAAGTGAGATGACCTTTTTTTTTTAACCTTAGTGTTATTTTAAGAAGGATAGTCAGTACTTTGTGTAAAAGACAAACACCATCCAAAAGAGTATCAACTCTGAAATAATAAAATTGATGAAAGGCATAATGATTTATAATCTAATTTAGAGTTTAAAGAGAATAGGAAGTTAAAGCTGGGGCAGAAAATAGTGAAACATTTTGTTATTAATAAAAGGAGAAAAATGGCATTTGAAAAAAAGTCAGACTTATAAACACTTTAGGATTATAGTTGCATACTTTGATGGTAGAGACTAACTGGAAATTCTTGGAAAAAAAGACAAAAGTTTAAGTCAAGGTTAGTGTATAGGGAAAAGAGGTAAACCTATAAAAATGTTGAGCATAGGGGAAAATTTCAGTGGAGAGAATGAAAATTGGAGGTGTCATTTATGTTGCTTGCATATGCCTATCAAGTGTCCTCATTCATTTCCAAACACATAGGGCGTTTAAATGAAGACTCCTGAAAAATATTTCCAAAGGCAAAATATACCAACAACCTCACTAATAATAACAAGGGCTATACTTCTTTACTCACCAGGGTAGTCCCCATGTGGATATTCTACTTCTAATATCCAGGGCTCCTTTCCCTGTTTCAACTTGAAAACTGCATTTGGCTTATTCACACAATAACCTATTAATAGAAATAAGGAAAATACAAATTGCTTGGAATTGGGGGACTCTGAAAGACAAAAAGTACAATTGTCAGAGCAGAACAATGAAGGTCTAACTAGACTTGGCATATTTAGATTCTTTCAATTGGGAGGGTGGAGACACAAATATTTTTTCTGGTACCCAAAATGGATTCAGCAACTTTGACCCCTGAAACAGAGCAAATATTCAAACTTACATGTTTCACAACTGGGAAAGAAAATGCAATCTACTGGGAGTTCCAGAGGGGGGCGTTTTTCTCACCCACTGAGACTAGGTGACCATAGTTCTCCTGCATCACTTCCCTGTACAGAGTCCTCTGAGCAGTGTCCAGTAATTGCCACTCCTCCTGGGTGAATTCCACAATAACATCTTTGAATGTTACTGGTTCCTGTAACAACATATTTCAGTTCAAACTGAAGTAATCAGAATAGAGTACCATTGAAGAGACATATGTAAACTAGGTCTTACTGTGCTAACTATAGAATTTATTCTGGAAAATTAAGATACACTGCTACTCTGTACCCTGCTTTATATATAGATAAAATATTGTTCAGTATATGTTTACTGAGATATCACTTGATACTTGGATTCTGCTGGAGATAGAAAGATGAATGAAAACAACTCTTCCTGTTATCAAGGAGCTTACATTCTGAGAGGGAGGCAAAGATGTAAATTCTTAAATGCAGTACACATAGCAGGTGCTATGCCAGAGGTATGTATAAGAAATGAGATGTTCACAAATGGGGCAGTTGTTATGTATTTTATATTATTAAGTTAAATTTTGTTAGGTGGTCAAACTGACAATGCATGTTTCAGGAATTAAGGAAATTACTGACAAAGGCATGGATGCTTCAAAAATGGCAAGTTTAGGAAATGCATATAAGACAGTATAATATGAGAACATGCTGTAGAACCAAATTAGTCATACAACAATGAAGTCAAGCTACAAAACATGGAGAAATTCTGAATTTGTCATTTTGGACATTGAAATATATTTTGCATACATCTATACATCTGTTTATTAAAAATTGACAAGTTTTCTTCTTATTTATATAAAAGAAAAATGTGAATCTATATTCTATTTCACACTATGTGGGCTATTTCTTTTTTGTGAATAAATGTTTATTTTTATCATTAAAAAAATTTCTTTTTATTGTTCTAATACATTTGTCTCCATTTACCCGACACCACTCTCCCCTACCCCATCCACTGCCACTTCCCCACCTCAATCCTTCCCCACGTTGGCTGCGACCATGGGTCCTTCACACCTATTTCTTGATCTAACCATCCCCCTACCACTCCCTCCAACCCTCCTCCCTCCCTCCCTCCTGTCCCTGTCAGTTTCTTCTTTTTTTCAATGTTGCTAGTAATATTTTACTTGCCTGCTTGCTTTGCTGGCTAGGTTCCACTTAGAGGTGAGATCATATGGTATTTGTCTTTCACCAAGATGTCTGAGATATTGAGATGTCTGGCTTATTTCACTTAGCATAATGCTCTCCAGTTCCATCCACGCTGTTGTGAAGTTTAGTAGTTCTTTCTTTCTTTCTGCTGCAGAGTATTCCATTGTGTAAATGTACCATAGTTTTTTGGTCCACTCATTTACTGATGGGCACTTAGATTGCTTCCAGCACTTAGATGTAAATTGTGCTGCTATGAACATTGGGGTGCATAGGTTCTTTTGAACTGGTGTTTTGGGATTCTTATGGTATAATCCCAGCAATGAAATTGCTGGGTCAAAAGGCAGTTCCATTTTTAGCTTTTTGAGGAAATTCCAAACTGTTTTCCACAGTGGCTGCACCAGTCTGCACTCCCATAAACAGTGTACTAGGGTTCCCTTTTCTCCACAGCCTCGCCAGCACCTGTTGTTTGTTGTTCTGTTTATGATGGCCATTCTGACAGGTGTGAAGTGGTATCTCATTGTGGTTTTAATTTGCATTTCTACGATGGCTAGTGATGCTGAGCATCCTTTCATATGTCTCTGGGCCCTGTGTATGTCCTCCTTGGAGAAGCGTCTGATCAGGTCCTTTGCCCATTTTTTAACTGTATTGATTGTCTTCCTGGAGTGGAGACTGTGAGTTCTTTATGTATTTTGGAGATCAAACCCCTGTTTGAGGTATCATTGGCAAATATATTTTCCCATATGGTTGGCCCCCTTTTCATTTTGCCGATGTTTTCTTTAGTCATGCAGAAGCTTCTTATTTAGATGAAGTCCCAATTGTTTATTCTTTCCTTTATGTCCCTTGTTCTAGGGAACATATTGGTGAAAATATTGCTGCGTGTGATATCTGAGAGTTTCCTGCCCATGTTCTTCTCTAGGACTTTTACGGTGTTGTGGCTTACATTAAGTCTTTTATCCATCTTGAGTTTATTTTTGTGTATGGTGTAAGTTGGTGGTCAAATTTCAATTTTTTGCATGGAGCTGTCCAGCTCTCCCAACACTATTTCTTGAAGAGGATATTTTTAATCCATTTTATGCTTCTGCATTCTTTGATGAATATTAATTGACCATAGAGACATGGGTTGACATGGGTTTATTTCTGGGCTCTCTATTCTGTTCCATTGATCTGTATGTCTGTTCTTATGCCAGTACCAGACTGTTTTGATTACAGTGGCCTTGTAACATAGTTTGATGTCAGGTAATGTGATCTTTCCAACTTTGTTTTTCTTACTCAAAATTGCTGCAGCTATTCGGGGTCATTTATGGTTCCATATAAATTTTTGAAGTGTTTGTTCTATGTCTGAGAAATACGTCATTGGTATTTTAATAGGGATTGTGTTGAATCTATAAATTGCTTTGGGTAGAAGGGACATTTTGATGATGTTAATTTTTCCAATCCATGAACACGGTATATACTGCCATTTATTTGTGTCTTCCTTAATTTCTTTCTTCAGTGTTGTGTAGTTTTTTGAGTACAGGTCTTTTACCTCCATGGTTAAGTTTATTCCTAGGTACCTTATTTTTCTTGTTGTTAGAGCAAAGGGGATTTTATCCCTGATTTCTGCTTCTGATATTTCATTTTTGGTGTACAAAAATGCCTTTGATTTCTGAATACTGACTTTGTATCTTGCTGTTTTGCCAAATTTACTTATTAGATCAAGTAATTTTTTGGTTGAGTCTATGAGTTTATCAATGTATAGTATCATGTCATCTGCAAACAATGACAGTTTTACTTTCTCTATTCCAATTTGGATGCCTTTAATTTTTTTCTCCTTGTCTGATTGCTGTGGCTAGGACATCCAAATACTATGTTGAATAGAAATGGTGAGAGGGGACGTGCTTATCTTGTTCCCGATATTAGTGGGAAAGCTTTTAGTTTATGCTCGTTGAGTACAATGTTGGCTGTGGGTTTTTCATATATGGCCTTTATTATGTTGAGGTATGCCCCCTTTATTACCACTCTGCTGAGTGTTTTTATCATAAATGGGTGCTGTACCTTATCAAATGCTTTTTCCGCATCTATTGAGATGATCATGTGGTTTTTGTCTTCCCTTTTGTTTATGTGATGTATCACGTTTATTGATTTGCAAATATTGAACCATCTTTGCATTCCTGGGATGAATCCCACTTGATCATGCTGGATGATCTTTTTAATGTATTGCTGGATGTGGTTTGACGATATTTTGTTGAGGATTTTAGCATCTATGTTCATCAGCAATATTGGCTTGTAGTTTTTCTTTCTTGGTTGTGTCTTTATCTGGTTTTGGGATTAGGATGATGCTGGCTTCATAACAAGAGTTTAGGGGTATTCTCTGTTCTTGGATTTCCTGGAATAGTCTGAGAAGGGCAGGGGTTAGCTCTTTCTTAAATGTTTTGTAAAATTCTCCTGTGAAACCATCCAGTCCAGGGCTTTTGTGTGCCAGGAGTTTTTTGATTACTGCTCCCATTTCACCATACCTGTTCAGGCTTTCTGATTCTTTTTCATTCATTGGTCTGTTCAGGCTTTCTGATTCTTCTTCATTCAGTGTTGGATGGTTATATTTTTCTAGAAATTTTTCCATTTCACCCACGTTTTCAAATTTCTTAGCATATAGTTGCTCATAGTAATTTCTTACAATTCTTTGTATTTCTGTGGTATGAGTTGTTATTTCTCCTCTTCCACTTCTGATTTTATATAACTGGGGCCTCTCCTGTTCTTTTTTGATGAGTCTGCTTAAAAGCTTGTCGATATTGTTTATCTTTTCAAAGAACCACCTCCTGGATTGGTTGATCCTTTGAATTGTTCTTTTAGTCTCTGTGTCATTCAATTCTGCTTTGATCTCGATTATTTCTTTCCTTCTACTTGCTCTGGGCATTGTCTGTTATTGTTCATCCAGTCATGAAGGTCTAGGGTTAGGTTGTTTATTTGAAATGTTTCTATCTTTTTTTAGATAGACCTGTAATGCTATGAACTTCCCTCTCAGGACTGCCATAGGTTTTAGACTGTTGTGTGTTCATTTCATTTGTTTCCAGAAACTTTTTGATTTCTTCTTTGATCTCATTATTGACGCATTCATTGTTTTATAGTATGCTTTTCAGTCTCCATGAGTTTGAATGTTTTTGAAATTTTCCCTTAGCCTGGTTTCTGGTTTCAAGCCCTGTGGTCCTAGAAAATGTGTGCTATGATTTCAACTTTCTTGAATTTGTTGAGGCTTGTTTTGTGTCCTATCATGTGGTTTATATTTGAAAGTGTTCCATGTGCATTAAAAAAGAATGTGTATTTTGCTTTTTTGAGATAAAAGATTGCAAATATATATCAGTCAAGCCCAGTTTACCTAACATGTCATTCAGTTCCTCAATATCCTTGTTGATATTTTGTTTGGAAGATCTATCTATTCTTGACAGTGACGTGTTAAAATCCCTACTGTCAGTGTTTGCTGTCTATGTCTTTCTCAATCCTCCAAGATTTTCCTTATATATTTGGGTGCTCCTACATTGGGTGCATATAGGTTTACAATGTTTATGTCTTCTTGATGGATTCTTCCATCAAGTATTTGAATATTATGAAGTGTCCCTCTGGGTCTCTTTTTATGGCCTTTGCTTTGAAATCTATTTTGTCAGATATAAGTATTGCTACCCCTGCTTTTCTTTCCTGTCCATTTGCATGAAATATGTTTTTCCATCCCTTGACTTTCAGTCTGTGTAGGTCCTTTGTTCTGAGGTGGGTCTCTTGTAGGTAGCATATGTGTGGGTCATTTTCTGTTATCCATTTGGATATGCTATGTCTTTTGATTGGGGTATTTAATCCATTTACATTTAAAGTTATTATTGATAGGTACTTATTAATTTTTTCCCTTTGTACCTGTGTTCCTCTCTTTCTCACTCTTTTTCTTCATCTTCTTAAAGCAGTCCTTTTAACATATCTTGCAGTGCTGGCTTGGTGGAGGTATATTCTTTTAGTCTTCTTTTGT